GAACGATATAAATGGCTTGGGACTAAAAGGTTCCTAAGGTTTTTGCCTCTACGTGCCATCATATCCACATTTGGCCCTAAGAGCCTTTTAAGGTGAACATCATCCAACAGACATGGCCAGAATTTTTGGATCTCAAACTTAACAGCCTCCCAGCCTGAATCGTAAGTGGCTATCATCCGTGGGGCTTGAGGTTTGATGGAGGTATCCACTATTTTTGGGGATAGTAGAGTGCCTCTGTCTGCCTCGAAGGCCCTTCTATAGGCTTTTTTTAGGCATTAGCCCTTCATTTTGAACTGTTGTCGCAATATGTTAGCTTGAAGCTTAAAATCCTCAACATCGCTGCAGTTCCTACGGGCTCTAAGATATTGCCCCGTCGGAATGCCACGTTTAAGGGATTGGGGATGAAAACTCTCCCAACGAAGGAGACTGTTAGAAGTTGTGGGCTTTTTATACAGCGTAGTGGTGATGGAATTACCACTGACCATGATCGTAAGGTCCAAGAAATTGAGTGTATTGCCCCCGAACTCCGAAGTAAAATGTAGGTTAAACTCATTGATATTGAGTAGGGATACAAATTCATCAAAAAATTCCCTACTACCTGTCCACAAAATCAAAATATCATCAATATAACGGGCCCAATGATGAATAAAGGGCCTGTATGATGAAAAAACATCAGATGCCACAACTACTTCCTCCCACCAACCTAGGTGGAGATTGGCATACGATGGGGCACAAGCCGTCCCCATCGCAGTGCCCTGTACCTGATGGTAGAATTTTTCATTGAAGAGGAAGTAGTTGTGGCAGAGGATAAACTCAAGAAGTTCCAAGACAAAGTTAGAGTGATCATTAAGGTCAGAACCCCTTTTGTCCAGGTAAAATTTAACATGTTGAATGCCCCCCTTGTGTGGTATAGATGAATATAATGCTACATTAATTTAAGTTTGCTACATTTAATGTATCCTCCCCCTTTTTGGTCATATTTATTTGCTACTATTTATGGCAATTCTGCCACACACATACTTATAGCATTTCTTCTGACCATATTACTATTATTTTTGGACTAGTCGATTCTATCCAATTAGATCCTAATTTTATTACTTGTTTGTTTAGTATCTGTGTGTTTCTCCCCCAAGAGGGATTAATAGAGTTTTTCATTTTTTGCTCTCTGCGCTCCACTTTTATATTTATAATTGCAGAGTAGCTTTTTTCACATAAGGATACAAGGTCTTTTTGGGAGGCAGATTGTTTATAATCTGCAACCCATTAGTCCTATTTTCTCTTTGTACTTAAAAGGCTACATTGTGTTTCATGAAATAAACCGAGGGAAGCATCAAACTGCCTTCCCTGTTTCAACCTCATCTTTTACAAAGACACAATTTTCAGTCTCAGACTTACTTCTCGTATTGCATGTACACCAAACAAAATTCTTCTCAAAGGATGTGACAGTAAGCCAAAGCTTAAACCATATACACATTGTTTAGAAGGACACACAGAACTGGCTTTTCCCTGTACCATTCTGCACATTTTTAGACACTCAAAATGTTTAATCTATTGCCAAATGTTTAATCTTACCCTTTTTTGACTGGTCAGTTTTGAGTGTCCAAAGGGCCAGGCAGGTACAGATTGCGCCGCTGTCTGTGGTTTTCTGACCCTAGACTATACGTTGCCGAGACCAAAAAGGGTTAATTAATTAACCCTTGCTATTCTCCTGTCCATGGTCACAAAATGTATACTACTACAAAATTTGAAAAGGAAACTTAACACTGTACAAAAACTGCAAAAAGGAAACTTATTACTTATACCTTATTAATAACTAATGTCCTCCAGTGGGTGCATGGACTCTTATGCAGAGCAAGGATTTTACAATTTACCTTATGCCATTTAAGAAACAATTAACTCTTACTGACGCCTCTGAAAGGCACTGTTCCTTGCCAGTTGGGAACTTAAACCCATACTGACTGTTACAGAGATCCCCTCTGCCTGCTTCGAGACCCTTATTGTTGTCTTTACACTGGATACTTTTATATTATTGCTCCTTTTGCTACTACATGGATACTTTTCTATCACAGTTTATACGAACGAGTTTTGCCATCTATTCATATGCACGAATAGCCAACCACCCGGCCCTTGGCGTGTGTCACCAATTAACCCCGTTCACCTCTCTAACTACCGAAGGAACTGCCGAATGGCCGCCAACCCTAAGTGAGGAGTGTGCTGTTAATCAACCTCCCTAATTGGCTAGCCTCAGGGTGGTCACCGTTAGTATACAAATAGTCGAACGTGGTACCGAACCAAACCGACGAAAGAACTATCGAACGACGACCACCTAGGCACCGGTGTGTGTCTCTAACTTGCGGTTTTTGTGGTTAACCGCAGTATAATCACTTACTCCAAGGTGGTCGCCATTCGTTTGTCGAACACGAGGCGGCGGACATCTTTTTGTCATCGAATGCTCAGCAGGACTTGATTATAAAACTCCTGGAACCCCTAGCGGCTACTGATTTACATGAATCCCGCTGAAGTGCAGGTTGACCCATCTTTTCAGATAAAAAGACACGAACACTATATAGACAGATTTTATTCCCAGAGCTTTCATATTCCATTCGTGAGATCTGAGCGCAATTCGTATATTTTATGCGCTCAGATCCAAGCTGTCTGGAGATGGGTCGGATGGGTCATTTTACTAGTATAATGTGAAAGTTAAGTATTTTTATCCTGTTTTACTGTAAGTACTAAAACATGGGAATTTCATGTACCTGGAGATAATTGAGTTACTGTAACTGTTGAGACCAATTATCTCCAGGGTAGGGGGGAGTGGTTCAGAAAATGCACTGTCATCCCCAGCCCTTCCAATAATCCCTCCACTCTGTCGGCAACATGCTGGACCCGAGCACCCGGGAGACAGCAAACTGTCCGGTTGAGTCGATCAGAGTGGCAGATTACCCTATCTACTCTCTTAATAGTAGAGTCCCCTACCACCACAACCTGTCTAGACTTCCTTACCCTCTCAACCCCACCCGTACTAGAGGGGCTGTTCCCACGGCTGTTAGAAGGAACAGCTTCCTGCAGTACAGCTACTCATAAGCTGATGCTCCCAACATCTTCACTCAAACGGGCAAATCTGTTAGGCTGCACTAAATCAGGACTAGCTAAACTTTTCCTCTTCCCTCCCCCTCTGCTTCCTCGCCCCACTGTTACCCAGCTATGTGCCTGTTCTCCAACTGTCTCATCTCCTCCCACTCCATGTATGTACGTAGTGGGCATTGGATAGCATTCCCCACATAAGAACCATAACTTACCCCTTCAAATAACGACAGACAACTTCTTGGGGAAAAACAGGCCACAGCATTTATTAACATCACCAAATACTGTATAACTCCTTAAACAAATAACATAAATTAACATAAACACTTTTTATACAGTCATACAGTAATCAAGAAACCGTCCTTGCCAATCTAACTTCCCCAAGGCTCTCACCTCCCCCCCTCGGCATAATAAAACCTCTTCCTTTTCAGGGCTCCCCACCAGCCGATTTTCCGCTCGGTGGGGCCCAACCATAATGCTCCCCACCGGTCGACTTACAACCCAGTGGGGACACGTCCAACTCCTCTAGGTTCACCATAAGAGACAGGGGGAGGATGAGACCCGGCCATTATCCCCCTTTTCATCTAATCTACCATCCCTTATTTGGCACGGACATGCCCCACCACAAACCCCGCTGTTTTAAGCCTAAAATCAGCGGGGGCCCCCACCGAAACCCCCCATGGCCTGTTCCAAAGCTTCTTGAAGCGCCAAGTTAAACTGCGGAGCCCGACCTCCGTCAGATGCACCCCATCTGGTCGAAAAAAGTGTGCCGCATCTTTTTCAAAAACCTGGTGCCGTATCGAGATTCCCCCAACCCCCGTTACAAACTTGGCAACCCGCCAATTAAACTTCTTGCAGCTGCGCTCCAGCGCACTCTGGCTGTGAGCCTGTCGCCAAAAATTCCTCGCCACTATCTCCGACCAAATCAAGGATACGTCGGGGAACAAGATCAAGATCTGGGACAAATCCCTCCTGACCATGTCCACCAGGCCCCCCACAGGCACGGTCCCCAGATCGTTACCCCCCAGATGGATAATCAAAACCGATGGAGCCCCAAGCAAGCGGGAAAGTCTGACCAAGTCGGGGAGGAGTCGGACCCACTTCATGCCTCTGACCCCGAACCACCGTACCTCCGCAGTTCCCGCATGAGACAGAGAAGCTCCCCCCCGGCTGGACTGCCGCTCTCCGCCTCGCCCAATGGATATAGGAGTGGCCAATCAACCAGACCTTGTAGGGGACCTGACCTGGGGAGGAAAACAAACAGTCTAGCTCAGGAGACCAGCAGCACATACATAAGAGACAAACCTCCTGGATTCCCACCTCCCTATTTGCTGTACCTCGTGATCCGGCATCCCCAGCCGAGAAGCCTCAGTCGCTGCGCCAATTCGGAAGGAGTGCCCTCCAAACTCCGCACCCTTCACGCCCAATGCAGCCAACCCCAGCCGAAACACCCTGACAAACTGAAAATGGAAGAGGAAGCTCCCATCCTCGTGCACTAACAGGGGGCCAGCCACTGCAGGGTGAACTGCGCAAAAACACCGGAAGGACAGAACCGGGCAGGTGGCCAATCCTGGGGCAGCTTCCAGCTGAACCCACTTACCTTTACCAAACACGTCCATCTTGGAGCGGCGAATCTTAAAGGAGACCCAGTCCGGCGCGTCCCTGAGAAAAGGACTCCCCCAATGGTCACCCTGCTTGGACACACCAACTCCCCAATTCTCATGGCCCCAAAGAAAGCAAACGAAAAGGCCAAGCGAAAAAGCCGCACCTCGAAGTCCGAGAAGCACACCTGCGGGAGCATGTGGCACAACTGCGCCATGAGCACCCCCGACACCGGCCTCCGGGTATCCACCGTAACCCGACACCTACGCAGCCCCTTAACCACCTGCCTCACCACAAACTCCTTGGTCATGTCCCCCCACCCTTGCAGCTTAAAGAAAAAACTCAGCCCAGCCAGGCGCGACGACACTGCCGAAGGCGACATGCCCGCCGACACCCAAGTGTTCAATAGCCACAACAAACCCCGCAATCGAGCGGGCATATCCTGGAAAACTCCCAGACCTGTCTCCCACTCGAGCCATTCCGCCCATACCTTCGAGTATCAGGCCCAAGTGGAACTCGATACAGACCCTCGAACCAGGTCCATCAGCCCGTCGAGCCCAGGGACCATAGTTCCACCGGATACCGGCACCCATCCTCGTCCGCATGGGGCGCAGCTGCCCGAAACTCCGACCACTGTGAAAGAGAGAGAGCATCCGCAATTACATTGTGAACCCCCGGAACATGCAGCGCCCTACAAGACATGTTAAGGCACAAGCACCGTAGCACCAGGCGCTGGAGCAAACGAACCACCGGCGGGGAGGAGGCAGAGAGCTGGTTAATCGCCTGCACGACCCCCAGGTTGTCACAGTGAAAGACAACCCGCCGATCCCGTAAGTCCAGACCCCAGAGCTCCAAAGCCACCACAATGGGGAAAAGTTTGAGGAAAGCCAGATTCTTAGTCAGGCCAGAGGTGTACCAGTCCCCAGGCACCGGCGCGACCCCAGTATCGCCCAAAGCCGACGGAACCCGCCGCATCCGTATAGAGGTGGAGATCCGCACCGGACACCTCTGGCCAATACGACCTCCCATTATAATCCGCCAAGAACGTACCCCAGACGTCCAAATCGTCCCATAACTGCCTCGTGAGTCTAATGTAGTGCCGAGGACTTGTCACCCCAGCGGTTGCGGCCGCTAGGCGCCTGCTAAAAATCCACCCCATTGGCATGATCCTGCATGCGAAATTCAACTTCCCCAACAGCGATTGCAGCTGGCATAGCTGTATCTTCCGCAAGCCCCGTGCTACCGCCACATCCCAGCGCAACCCTTCCACCTTGTCTAGGGGCAGCCGGCACTCCAAGGCCACTGAATCAATCTCGATGCCCAGGAAGCTAAGGCATGTTACTGGTCCCACAGTCTTATCGTACGCAAGGGGAACCCCGAAGCGCCCAAACACCCTTTACACCGTGGTGAGCAGGCTCCTACACCCCGGAGAATGCGCAGGGCCCACACACAGGAAGTCATCAAGGTAATGCAGCAGCAAGTCAATCCCCGACTCCTGCCGCACCACCCATTCCAAGAAAGTGCTAAAGCACTCGAAGTAAAAGTAGGATATGGAGCACCCGATCGGGAGGCACATATCCACATAGTACTGGCCCTGGAAACAACAACCGAGGAGGTGATGGCAATTGGGGTGCACCGGCAACAAGCGAAACGCTGATTCCACGTCTGCCTTTGCCAGCAATGCCCCGGGACCCGCTGCCCTGACCATGCGTACTGCTGTGTCAAAGGAAGCATAAGACACCCGACACAGCTCGGCAGAGATGTCATCATTTACCAAGCCCCCTCGAGGGTACGATAAATGGTGAATCAGGCAAAATTTCCCCGCCTCCTTCTTGGGCACCACCCCCAAGGGAGATACCCGCAAGTTGGACAATGGAGGGGACTCGAACGACCCCGCCACCCACCCTAGTGAAACCTCCTTCCGGAGCTTTTCGAGGACCACATCAGGAAAATCAAACAGCGACTTCAAGTTCCTGACTGCCGCGGAGGAGGGGCGCTCCGAGAAGGGAATCCAAAACCCCTGGATAAACCCCTCCAGCAGCAACCCCGCGGCCCGGCGGTTCCTATAACGGCCGAGCCAGGGGCGCATCACGTCCACTGGCGTCTTCGCCCTTAGTCCCCACGTCGCCTTTGTCCCCAGACTTACCCCGCTTAAAGCAGCGGGACGCCGAGTGGGCACCCCCGCAATGGGAGCATTCGTGCTTAAAAAGACACGTTGCTCCCCACTTGCACTGGCTGTCGTTGAACTTCCAACAACAGCCTGGCCGCCTGTGTGAGGCCGATGGGGCAGGACCGCCCCCCCCACCAGCTCTTCCAAGAAAGGACGACGTCCCTCCTTGGTGCGCCGCCGGGCGAGTCATGATGGACAGCCACAGGCCAATGTCCATCTGATCCCATGAGATAGAGGGGCGGACAGCGAGCCGCTGACAAAATTGTTCGTCATAGCGCCACCAACCCAGGCCGCCATAGGTCCGACAAGCGTTCCAAATGGTGTCCTGATAGCAAAAGAGCGCTGAGCAGTGCTGGGGAGCCTTTTCCCCAATCACGCTCGCCAAAATGGAAAACGCCCGCACCCAGTTCCCGAAAGTTTTCGGAATCTTCCTGTAACGGAACTTCTCCCTATCCTTGTCTGACTCTCTTCCCTCCTTGTCCCCCAGAAGAGGTGCTTCCTCCAAGGGCAACAGGGAAAATATCTCCACGAATTCCCCTTTCCAGATCTTGTCCCTGACCTCAGGTTTTAGATGCAAGCCAAGGGGACCCGGCCAGCACATATATGCTGCCCCCCTAGCCACGTCGGCGATGCCTGCTGTACTATCCAGCACCCCTCCGTCGCCACCCCCGCCCCCGTGGCCGGCACGGGAGGCGGAGTCGCAGGAACGCTAACCACCGCGCCAGAAACCGCACCCGCGCCCCCTCCCACGGCTGAACCCGCCTGTGGCAATGGAGGGGACCACACAGAATGCAGCTGACCGTCCAACCCATGGGATCCCTGTGCTATCGCCCCTCGCTCCCACTGGGAAAAAAGCTCCCGCAGACCCAACATGAACCCACCAAACGTGGACGCCCCAGCTAGCGCTGGAACATGTGACTCACCTGGCGGTGCCCCAGGACCCGCTGGCGGCACCAGAGCTGCAGCAGCAACCTGTGAAGAGGATTCCAAGGCATGAACAGCAGTGTACATATACCACAGCTCCAGGCGCCATCTGGTAGACGGATTCAGCAACAGCACCCAGAGCCACTGCCGGCCTTGAGGAAAGGGGGCCGCGGGTGGCATCCCGCTCGCTTGAAGGATGGCGGCCCACATGAGAGGCCACTGCCCGGCATCCTGCAGCCGCGGGAGGGGCCGGTGCGGCTGGGGCCGGTGCAGGTCGCGTTCTACGTGGTTCCCACGCGCTGGCCTGTTGTCGCCTTGGGCCCGGGCTGCGGCTCCTGTACCGGGCCAGAGGGCTCAGCCGAGCCGGAGTGCGGGTGCGCCAACCCGTGCCGGACCGGCCACCCAGGGAGTGTACCGCAGGGGGCAGGGATGGAGGAGCCACAGCGCTGGGAGGGGGAGCCACATCGCCAGGCGGCTGTGGCTGGAGCAGGCACCCAAACTGCTCACGGAGCTGCCGGCCACCGTCTGCTGCTGCACTAGCCCTGAGGGCAGACAACATAGCCTCAATGTCCATGCCACAGGCTGAATATCCTACAGGCCCAGGCAACAAGAGGAGGAGGATCACAGAAAACTTGTTGCTGGCCCGGCTCCTAAGTGGCACTGAGGTCAGTCTGAGGTCAGTCTGTTTTGTCACCACCCACTTCCTCACAACTCACACTCCCACACGTAGCACATAGCCATCCCACACTCATACATGTAGAATACAGCCAACCATGCCTCATCCATCCCACACTCATACATGTGCCCCTGTCCGCTAAGCTGCGCACTCTCCCTGAGGCCTCTTCCTGCAGACACTAAACTCTGCTCAGTGAGCAGCAGACTCCAAAGTTAAAAAAAAAAACACAAACAAATCAAAAAATTAAAAAAAATGTAAAAAAAATTAAACCTGCTTTTTTTTTCCACTTGGTATTAATAGTGATGTCG